CCCGAATCTCTCCGCTTTTATTAAACCACTCGCTTAAGACCAATTACACCTGTGAAAATGTTTCAGAGCACGAATAAAACGATGGAAAAGGTCACGGTAAATGCGCTGAGACTTCAACTTCCTTAAATGATTAAACAAATTCCTGCAGTGGACTTTGCCCGCAGCTGTCGGTGCATTAATAAGCACAAGGGCGAGGGCTATGAACCTGCGAGGCTGGATTAGCAGCATGGACATACATGGAGCTGTTGCTGGTTGACTTCTTTCAGAAAGAGGCTGTGAAGTTTTGGAGGGGGTGGGAGTGGGCTACTGTTGGTGGAAGTCATGCTCTGTTAGGCTTAAGTACAGTACATCCGGCTACTGAAAAACACCGGCCAGTCTCTTATGAAATCCTATGGCCTGAGGTTTCAGTCACAGAAGATAAAAGCTGTTAAGTCTGCTTTATTTGAAGGTTTGTGCTTGGAGGAAAAATTTCCAGGATCTTACATAAACCTGAGAGCTTAAAAAAAAACATAGGGATAGAAGTTCGTATTTAAATGAAATAACACCCATTATTTATTCACGATTTTCTTATTTTCTTCCATATATGCTTTATTACAGTTTTTCAACATAGCCAAGATCTCAAACGATGAGGTCAGTGCATGTAGAAGTAATCCCTGTGTGCCAAAATGTCAGGTTTCAGACTGCTAACAGACAAATCGTTCTACTCTTGGCCTTTTATGATGTCATTAAGAACAGATATCCCTAATATGGTCAGTTGAAGCTGTGAAAAAAGGGTAGCCAATCAGATAAAAGTTTCCTTAAATGCAGGCTGGCCTTAAAAGAAAAACGGGAGTTAAATAGCTTGTTTCAGATAGTGGCTGCACTAAAGCCTGGCATAAGATAAAATAAGGGTTATTTTTTTGAATTACGACTCATGCAAAGCATCTCTATTAAAATATGGATTTGTTAAAAAGTGTGGTGTCTTCAAACAAACACGCATAAGTACACAAAGGGTTCCCTGCCTTTTATCCAGTGCTCATGAATCTGTGTGTCTTGATGACAAGAAATTAGTGTGCGTTACTTAACATAAACCTGAAAAGATTTAAATCCCAGTGAGAAAATAAATAAAACATGGAAGAACAGCTGCTGTGGTAGTTCATTTGATCTTCTTTGGTGGGACACGCCCATTTGAGCACAAAATTATCTACATTTTAGGTACGCTGTCATGCACACAATCTGCTTACCATGTAGTATCCAGGCAGCAGCTTCTGTAAGAATTCAGCCTCCTTGTGCATCACAGTCTTGATGATGAACTCATCGTCCTTTGTAAGGTAGAAGACTGAGCCACTCGCTCCAGGATTGGATAGCTCGATCAGAGG